ATGATGTTAAAAACCAAATTAAAACATATTTAAATGAAAACATAATTTCTTTCCTCATTTTATCTCTTTACCAGAAATAATGTTCATACCTTGATTATAGATCAGATTATGCAGGTGTACCTTTTATTTTTCACAAATGTAAAATAAGTTTGTGAAGGAAAAAATAAAATTAACTATAAAAGCAATATAAAACAGCAAGCAAATTACAGCAAGCTTCGATTTTAACTTTCATTTAAGAAAATCAGTGATTTAGAAATTGCTAAGTGTGAATTTTTGACACAGTTTGCTTCTATCAATCAACACCGTAAATGACAGTGCCTAAGTCATAGAATGTTATTTTTATCAACCCTATCAACCCTCAAGAATATAGAATAATCTCAAGAAGTAACTATTAGAATTGAAAAAGTATTTCTATAGCCACGAGTCAGTACTAGAAGCATAGAATGCTGGAACCAGTAAAAAAAACATAGTGATCAATGAAAACACATGGAATGCAGTGATATTCTGAGTCATTTAAAAGCAAATGAACTTTTTTTTTTCTTTTTGAAACAAAATTTACATAGAAGCACAATAGTTAAAGAATGGCTGTCATTACAAAAAAAGGAATGGAGATTCCAAATCTTTTTTCCCTTACCTTGAATAGCTGTCTCTTATCCCTATCTACCCCTCACCAACCCTGCATAAAATCCTAGAGTTGGATGAAATTGTCTGACCACAGATAAGCCCAAGCCTTTGTGCCATATATGTGAGCAGTCCCCAGACTTTTTGGCACCAGGGTCCGGTTTCACGGAAGACAATTTTTCCACAAATCTGGGGCAGGAGGGTTGGGGGGAAGGGAGAGGTGGTTTGGGGAAGATTCAAGTGCCTTACATTTATTGTGCAGTCAAACCTCTCTGCTAATGATAATCTGTATTTGCAGCCGCTCCCCAGCGGAAGCATCACAGCCTCAGCTCCACCTCAGATCATCAGGCATTAGATTCTCGTAAGGAGAGCACAACCTAAATCCCTTTCATTCACAGTTTTATAGTAGGGTTCAAGCTCCTATGAGAATGTAATGCCAGTGCTGATCTGATAGGAGGCGGAGCTTATGTGATGATGCGAGTGCTGGGGAGTGGCTGTAAATACAGATGAAGTTTCACTCACTTTCTTGCCTCTCACTTCCAGCTGTGCAGCTCGGTTCCTAACAGGCCATGGACTGGTACTGGTCCACAGCCTGGGGGTTGGGGACTACAGATATATATGACATAATGAGAACAAGTGGCTTCCTTATGATCTAAACAGTTCAAAATGAATCTATTATAATTTTTAGTATTGCCTTCCAAAACAATGGAAATGAGCTCTCTGGGACTTAACGTCACTTAGTCTGTTAACAAATACTTGAAATACACACATACATACATACTTATGCACATACATAAAAAATACCACACTAGAGTGGTCTTCTCCCCATTATAACTGAGAACATGAGACCCCCAAATACTTGGAGAAATCAAAGGTGGAAACTCTTCAGCAATAACACACTCGTTCTAGTAGTTATCAAAGTTCCCATTTAACTAGGGAAGTAGTTAATTTAATCATTTACCAAATCTCTACCATATTCCTTATGATTCAGTATGTCCATGCATCCTGCCGCTTCTTCTCTCCTCAAATATCTGTGACTACAGTTCCTGAACTTCTTAATTAGCAGTCACCTTTTCTTCACTCTAATTTTGACAATTTTCCCTTTCCCCAAGTCTTCTCCTTCCTCTGGATCAGTACTTTCCATGATACCTTTGCATCTTGTTAAAGAAAAACTTATTCATGACACTTGTTAAAATCGTAAGGCAGAATTTATTCAGGACTATCCTGATAGGTATAGAGATTACTGCAATGCAGTTTTTCAGTAGAAGAGAGAGATTTAGCTCAACTCAAAATATTATACAAGGAAAATTGTAATTTATAGCCAAGGAGCAGAATGGGGGTTAGTGGATGGGAAATATCTAAGAGGAAACATATGAATGAGCAGGAATTCTGGCTAAACAAACATAACAGGATTCTTACTGAAGACAGACCAGGGTGATCACACATCACCTGGAGCACGGTGGCAGATGAGGAATTTGATCAGATATCAAGGGTGATTGGATATCAAAGGTGGGCGGTTCTGGCTAAACTGACTAAACAGGATTCTCACTAAAATTGGGCTCTTGAGGACAGGCCTAAAGATGGGGCCTATTTAAAAATGAGCTCAGAGGCCAGTGCAGTGGCTGACACCTGTAATCCTGGAACTCCGGGAAGCTAAGGCAGGAAGATCACTTGAGGTCAGGAGATTGAGATGGAGACCAGCCTGAGCAAGAGCAGGACCCATCTCTACTAAAAATAGAAACAATTAACTGGATGTGGTGGCACTTGCATGTAGTCCCAGCTACTCTGGGAGGCAGGAGGATTGCGTGAGCCCAGGAGTTTGAGGTTGTAGTGAGCTATGATGACACCACTGTACTCTAGCTGGGATGACAGAGTGAGACCCTACCTCAAAAAAACAAACAAACAAACAAACAAACAAAAAAACTCAGAGGAGCCTGACTAGAGTTTAGTCAAGAAGAAAATCTTTGTCAGTCTTCCTATTATGTTTGGGTGTTTCTTGAATCCCCATTATGTTCTACATCAATACCTTGTGTGATCACATTTTTCAAGAAATGCTTTTCTCTTGTAATGAAGCAGCTCATTCTCTAATACTCTCCAAATCTCTGGGTTGTGAAGAAAGAGACAGCCAGCCTCCTGCTCCCTGTCCCCCAGCTAAACTACTGCTTCTAGACCAGGCCACCATCATTTCCAGCTTGGAGCTGTTTATAAACCTACACACCTTCTAATATTTTCTGCACTGAGCAGCCAGAGTATCCTTTTAGTAAATTGGATTATATAAGTTCTCTGTTTAAAATTCTCCAATGGTTTCCCTTTTCAATAAAAATAAAATCCAAGTTTCAAATTTTGATCTTCAGATCTTTTATGATGAGATGCTTTTGCATCTGTCACTTCCTTTGTTGAAAGCTCTTTCTCCCTGCCCACTTTAGCTAGACTGTACGTATCTATACATACATACATATACATACATATATTTTTTTCTATCTTTAAATACAAAGTCTGGCTTCCTACAGTTAGTGTGTATCAGGAACAAGTATTTTTTGTGATTAAAATGTATAGCTCTCCTTGATAAAAATAAAACAATAGTATAGTTCTATATTCATCACCTTATTTATACCCTCTTCTACTTCTACATAGATTCAACTGAAAAATCCAAGCTTGCAAAGCTTAGTGTATAATGCTAAAATTGTTGGAAGAGATGCTGCTGACTTCTCCCTCTCCCAAACAGGAAATGTTGTGACAATTTCTCCAAAGTAAGTATTTTTTTAAAAATTTTACTTTATTGAACATATCGACCCTAAAGATTTAACAGATATTGCAGTTATAAAGAATTGACTTGGATTTTTTAATTGATAGCTATATAATGAAAAGATCATCATTCACTTAGACAAATATT